AGCCGGGGACACAAGCAGCCGCTGCTCTGGCTCCGCAAACTCAAGGGCAAAATCTGCACCCACATGTCAGGGGCAAACCCTGAAACCACCTATCTACTCGAAGGCTATTTTCAGCCTTTACACAACAACAAGGACTCACAGGCAGCGTAAGGCCAACCCAGGCTTACACCAGCAAGCTTCTGGGGCAACGCAGGAGGCCAAAACCCTGGTGGAAACAAGAAGCTCAAGACAGTCTGTATCAGACATTAGGGAGCTCCCCCCTCACCCAAAAAACCCCAGGGCAAGCAATGCTCACCACCCCGGGCCCCCCCCAGTCTAAACACACGCACCTTTGAGCATTGTTTTCCTTAATCTTCCATCAGCATGGCACAGAACTCCCTGCATGCATCTGCCCCCACAAGACACATACAGGCTTCTGGAAAAAGAACAGAAAGCTAGTCAGCCCAAAGAGGGGATGCAAGGGCACAAAGTCAGAGACGGGGAAAGCTCCTCTCTCAGCCTCCACCGCACACATCCCAGGCCCCTATTCACTACACAAGCTCTCAAAGGCTTGTCTGCAGCCTCACGGAGCTGGATACTCACAGGCACTCCAAACGTGACACGTCACAGTAGCCGCATAGACACAGTTTGACCTACAAAGATAGATACACACACAGCAGCTCCTGGAAACATGATAGAACAAGTGGTCAGACAGGAAGACAAAGACCTCACAGCTCACCAAGGAAGCTCAAACCCACCACAGGCTCCACACAGGTGATGTCACAGGGGCAGAGGCCTCACACCACGCATCCGGGGAAGTCACAAGACAGCAGCCCATTTTGTGCACCGCCATCTCTGCGGCTCATCACCTTGTCTTCGGTGTCTGAAGCCTTGGCAAGGTGGCTCCTCTGCACACAGACACAGAGAAAACACAGGAAGACACTTGCCGCTGTTGACAGCTGAGAGGCCTCACGCCAGTGAGGGCAGCAGACCCTCCCTGCCAGGACCTCACAGGCAGATTTGTTTTTTTTTAACCCCCCACCCATAGCTGCAAGGCTGCAGGCATATCCCTCTCCAGGCTGTCCCCTTGCAAGCAAGGGAAGCAAGGTAGAGGTGCAAGCACAGGTCTCCTGCAAGTTCCAGGAAAAGCAGGGCAAGGCTGCAGCAACCGAGAAGACAAGACAAACAGAAACGCATACAAGACACAAGACAAGACATCCCAAGCACCAGTGGGAGAGGCCATGGCAAGACAACCAGCTAGGCAGACACATGCACCATGTTCTGGCCCAGCAAAGCCTAGACAGGGTCAGGCAAACGGTTAGGGAACAGGTGCACAAGCGCACTGGGGTCACAGTTAGGGTTAGGAAAAGGTTCAGGCTAGGGAACGGGTTCAAAGGTGAATGTGGATCTGGGTTAGGCTTCGGGAACAGGTCCACAAGTGGACAGGGGTCCAAGTTAGGCTTAGGGAACAGGTCCACAAGTGCCCAGGGGTCCGGGCCAGGTTTAGGCAGGGCGTTAGGGAACGGGTCCACAACTGCATGGGGGTCCGGGTTACGGTGAGGCAGGGGATTGTGATTAGGGAAGGGGTCCACCAGTGCCTGGGGGTCCAAGTTAGGGCGAGGCAGGGGGTTAGGGTTAGGGAACAGGTCCACAAGCGCACAGGGGTCCGGGCTAGGGTTAGCTAGGGGGTTAGGGTTAGGGAATAGGTCCGCGACTGCACGGGGTCCGGGTTAGGGTTAGGCAGGGGGTTCGGATGAGGCCTCGGGTCCATGAGTGCACAGGGGTCCAGGTTACGGCTAGGAAGGGTGTTTGGGTTAGGGAAGAGGTGCTCAAGTGCACGGGGGTCCCGGTTAGGGTTAGTCACAGGGTTAGGGTTAGGGAACAGGTGGACGAGTGCACAGGGGCGCAGGTTAGGGTTAGCAGGGGGTTAGGGTTAAAGAACGGGTCAACAAGTGCACAGGAGTCCAGGTTAGGGTTAGGCAGGGGGTTAGGGTTAGGGAACGGGTGCACATGTGCACTGCAGTCCAGGTGAGGATGAGGCAGGGGTTCGGGTTAGGGAACGGGTCCATGAGTGCACAGGGGTGCAGATTAGGGTTAGGCAGGGGTTTTGGTCCGGGTGAGGGTTAGGCAGGGGTTTAGGGTTAGTGAACAGGTCTGCCACTGCACAGTGTTCAGGGTTATGGTTAGGCAGGGGGTTAGGATGAGGCCACAGGTGCACGAGTGCGCAGGGGTGCAGGTTAGGGTTAGGCAGGGGTTTCGGGTTCAGGAACGGGCCCACAAGCGCACAGGGGTCCGGATTAGGGTTAGCTGGGGGGCTAGGGTTAGGGAACGGGTCCGCGACTGCACGGGGATCCGGGTGAC